CAGCAGCATGAAACAGATCAGCAGCATGAAACAGATCAGCAGCATGAGAATTGGGGCATTATAAGCTGTAAAGCAACATTGTTGAAACATTCCTGATGAAAATAACTGTTTACCATTTCCGTTCGAAAAGCCATTTCCTTTTCCAGTGTGGACAGATGTGAAAAGTGCCTGTCATTCTCAAACAGCTGTGAGAGATGATACCTAGAGGAGGGCAGCACCAGATACTGAACATTCAGCGTAAATACCAAATAAACTGCATCTTTATGAAGAAATAATGCTGGAGTCTTACCAGTGCAAATATCCACACAGGACAGCTGTGGACAGAGAGACAAAGTTTCAGCGTGGACTCGGACCGCTTCCTCTGAACAACAAACCGCAACTACACAAACACCAGCTAACAACACTTACTGATCAACTGATAAATAACTGATATTATCCCGTTACACGTATCCAAGAGAGAACTGACACCAAAACCCGTAAACACGTGTCGGATCTGACGTACAGAATAAGCAGAATAAAGGTTACTTACGCTATTTTATTGATTTTTTTACGTGGTTAGCAAGGATAGGTAAGTACCGTCGGAAGCTAAGCTAACGTTAGCCTCGTGATAACTAACGGAGATCATCTTAACGGAGCCGTTAACTAGTTTACCCGTTAGCACCCGTTAGCTTGTAGCAGGCTAAAGCTCCAGACTTACCGAGGAAAACAGAAGTTCCCAGCTTCAGAAGCGGGGGGCAGGAGAGCCCCAGCCTGTGTCCGACGAGGGGCAGCCCGTTCGGATGAGAGCCAGCCTTGCCCTCCCTGCCCGCCCGCCTCACGCTACTTTTGCTGTGGGCTGAAACGTGAAGGTTCTTGTCGCCCTGGCTCGCTGGACTCTTCCCCGTCTGTTTTCGGTTTTTAGCCACCATGGTCGCTGGGAAAGAGAAGGGGTTTGGGGAAAGAAGAGAGAGACCTGACGGGTGCGAGCCGAACAGCTCCACCGTTACTCCTATCTGCTCCTCGGATCTGCCAAACTACCTGAGAGATGCGCTCAAGGATTCCTCATAGAAACGTTATGAAGCTGCGCCCCCTGCCGGCGATGGAGCGCTACTGCAGGGAGCGTCAGACTGTAACCATGGCAACGCCAGGTCGCAGACCCCTCGTTAAGTCAATGGATCAAGCCTTGTAGGCTGCATTCGCTGATATTCTCGGTAGTTAGCAAAATAATATACAATTCAATTGTGCTATTAACTGGAACACGTATCTTCTTCTTCTTCTTTTGGCTTCTCCCTCTTCAGGGTCTCCACAGTGAGTCCTCCATCTCACTCTGTCCTCTGTGTCCTCTGTCCTCACTCCATCTACCTCCATGTCCTCTGTCCTCACTCCATCTACCTCCATGTCCTCCTTGTAATCGAGCTGTTTTTGTTACTTTTTTTAGGCCATCTTTTATAACTGTCTATTGTTGTCGCTGTTGTCCATTGTTGTCGTCATTCTTTGTTGAAATCAGGTCTCTCTTGTAAATGAGTCCTCGAGGCTCAAAGGGATTTACTGTCTAAATAAAGGTTGAATGGATTTCTAACATCCTTCTACCAATACACCCACTGTCCCTCCTCTGGACATGTCCAAACCACTGTCCCTCCTCTGGACATGTCCAAACCACTGTCCCTCCTCTGGACATGTCCAAACCATCTCAGTGTGTCCTCTCTAACTTTATCTCCCTGTTGTTCAACCTGTGCTGTACCTCTGATTGATCTCATTCCTGATCTTCTCCATCCTTGTCTCTCCTAAGGAGAACCTCAACATCTTCATTTCTGCTACTTCCAGTTCTGTCTCCTGTCTTTTTGTCCATGTCTCTGTCTCCTGTCTTCTCCTGTATGGAAGAATTTTCATGCCATTTATGGAAGGCGCACATTTTGTGTTTGAAAGCAGGAATTCATCTCTTTGTTTAATCTGGAAAAAGCATAAAACATCCAATTTACTGAAATACAACTAAATCATGGTGCTTTCTCAAAGCATAAAGTGCTTTCAGCATTATCCAGTAAAATACAAACACAAGAGATCATAATATAAAAATAAAAGAATTGTTCATACATGTGGATGTATTTGATCAAACAACAACAACATGGTTTTTGTGAAAGTGTCAATAAAATAAACTGACAACCCTTAATACGTAAAGTTAACTTTATAATGGGACAACACAAAACAGAAACAAAATAATAACTTGAAATGCACAAAAACTAATAAAAAAATACCAAATATCTACTAACTTATGACAAAGATGCCCACTAACAGCAGAATAACAAAGAATGACTGAAACAAATACATTAATGACTTCACACAGAGACATGACCACATGAAAAATATTGCTGAGATCCATCTGTCTTATATCTACATCCTTTTGTTCAGGGTCACAAAGGCAAAGAAACACCAAAATAAAATTATTACTATTATTTTTAAAGATGCACAACTGGGCAACAATGATTTGAAGCTACTGAAAAAAGTCATGGACCACAACAAATCATGAATCAAGAAATGACATCAACAAACTAAAACACACGTTTTTATAACCAAAATTAAAACGAAGCTTTTTAATTGATCTTGTTTTATAAAACATGCTGCAAATTTGAGCACCAAATAAAAGAAGCGTTGTGCTTTAATTTACATTTGATTATGTGCATTTTCAGAAAAATAATGAAAAAGTATTTTTTCTAAGACAAACATGAAACATCAGCAACTGAGACCAGCAGATGTCACTAAATGACCTCAGCATGCTGGCTCATGTTTCAGAAGCAACCC